TGCATGAAGAATAAAACATTTTGGTGTAAAGGATTATACGTTCTATTCCTCAAAATGTGCGACATATTCTAGATTGGATTATATAATGAAACAACAAAGATTATTGGAGTCATTGATTAAATCCAGTATTGAGGATACATCATTGCCAGATCATGCACCGGTCACAATGAGGCTGAAGGAATGAACAAAATAAAATGTATGCATGAAAACTGAATGAAACACTCATACAAGATCAGGAGACGAAAGTAAGAATACAAAAAGAAATAGAGCAATATTTTCAGCTAAATGAAATGGAAGAAGTTTTGATTACCACGGTCTGGGACGCACATAAGGAGCATATAAGAGGTATCCTGATTTCCATAGGGGTGGAAAAAAAAAGAAAAAATAGGGAGAAAAGATAAAAACAATAACACTGTTCAACAGGTAAAAAGTTTTGGGCATAAAATTAGCTAATCTTACATAATTTTGGGGTGCTGAAAACGAAAATGACCCTAAAAAATGTTGATTGGCTCTAGTTTCCATGATATATTCACCCATCTAATGACGTAAGCCATTCAAAATTATGATGCAACTTCAGCTGCATATTGCGCAATTGATACTGGTGACCAATAGAAAATTGCATGTATACTGAGATGATGCAATATTAGCCTTTAATTGTATCACTTCACTGCATAAAAGCTGCAGTATCTGTAGCTGATTGTAGTTCGACAGCGTCTTTACATTTCGTTTTATGCTTATATAGGCTACTCAGTAATGCCTCGAACTTGTGTGAATAAAGCAGATAATTTCTGCTATATCTGCGATGAAATAACTTTTATCTCACAAAAAAGGAGGATAACAGGAATGATTAAGAAAGCCTACAACTTGTATTTTGGCTGCAAGATAGGAGACCAGGACAAGAGCTGGGCACCACATATATGCTGCAATTCTTGTGGGACGGCACTGGAGCAATGATTGAATGGAAAAAAGGCATCCATGCCTTTCGCTGTGCCAATGATTTGGAGAGAGCCAACAGATCATGTTAGTAATTGTTACTTTTGTATGGTGCCTCCAACAAAAGGGCTAAATAAGAAGAATAAGTTATATGTGCACTATCCAAATATTCCATCGGCAATACGCCCAGTTCCTCATGGAGAGGGGCTACCAATTCCTAAAGCACCAGAATCTTTCGTGGTTGAGTCAAGTGAGGAAGAACCTGAAGCGTGTAGTCATCAACCGTCAACCTCACATGACCCAGACTTTCTTCCATCCACACCCACTGAACCACACCTCATTACACAAGTGGAATTGAGCGATCTTATCAGAGACCTGGATCTTCCGAAAGAACAAGGCAGAGCTTTTGGGGTCAAGACTACAACAGTGGAATCTCCTAGCAAGTGATGTTCGTACGTCTTTCTACCGTCATCGTCAGAAAGATCTGATCCCATTCTTCGTCCAGGAAGGTGATATTGCTGTATGTAACAATGTTCATGGTTTAATCTCAGCCATCGGCGTATGCTATGATCCCGATGAGTGGAGGCTGTTCATTGATGCTTCAAAGGCGAGTCTTAAAGCTGTTTTGCTCCATAATGGCAATCAGCTGCCGTCAGTTCCAGTTGCTTACGCAGTTTCAATGAAAGAAACGTATGAAAACTTGAAAGAGCTTTTAAGGTGCATCAACTATGATGAACATCAATGGTCGATTTGTGGTGACCTGAAGGTGATTGCTATCCTACTTGGACTTCAAGGTGGATATACTCAGTACTGCTGCTTCCTCTGTGAGTGGGACAGTCGTGCGAGAGAAATGCACTATGCCAAAAGAGACTGGCCATTACGCCAGTCATTGCAGCCTGGAGAAAAAAATGTTAACTATCCAGCACTTGTAGACAGCAATAAGATCTTATTACCTCCATTACACATCAAGTTGGGATTAATGAAAAACTTTGTTAAGGCAATGGACAAGAATAAAGCAGGTTTCAAGTACCTGATTAGCAAATTTCCAGCACTTAGTGCTGCAAAAATAAATGAAGGAGTCTTTGTTGGGCCACAGATTCGTAAACTTATTCATGATGATGAGTTTCTTTCTCTGTTGCGTGGAAAGGAAAAGGCTGCCTGGACAGCATTTGTATCAGTGACATCAAATTTTCTTGGAAACAATAAAACACCAGACTACAAGAAAGTGGTAGAAAAACTCATCCAGACTTACAGAAATCTGGGTTGCAACATGTCTCTAAAAATTCATTTTCTACATTCGCATCTGGATTTTTTCCCACCAAACTGTGGAGCAGTGAGTGAGGAACACGGAGAGCGCTTCCATCAAGACATTGCAGCTATGGAAAGAAGATATCAAGGTAAATGGAGCCCATCAATGCTTGCTGACTATTGCTGGACAGTTGTAAGAGATAGCCCTTTCCTCGAATACAAGAGAAAAGCCAAGAGAAGCAAAACCGACACAAACTGAAGACAAAACTAGTGAGAATCCTAAGTATTAAAATGATTCAACTTAGCTTATGGCTATAATTTTTCTTGGTAATCCTATGCAATATATTATGCCATTTAGGCTTTGTTATGTAGTCAATATCACTTGCTTTATATTTGTGGAAAGACATCTATCTATATAATTATTGTGCATTATGTAGTCATTACGCCTATAGTAGAAAAACTTTCCGTTTACAAAAAAAAACTGGAGCCAATTGACAAATTTCATTGTTATATTTGAACTCAGAATGTGAAATTCATTAAGAAATAGATCTTTTTGTTTCCAAAACTGGCAAAAAATAAAAATTTGTTGAACAGTGTAATAGAGGAATTATATGAATTAGAACAAATACATAAAAAGAGAATGGAAACTGTAATACAACAAAAGATAAAATTAAAGAGAAAGGAATTAAGTAGTCTAATGGAACAGGAGACAAATAGGGTGTTTAATACGGAGCTGAGAGAAAGATATCAATAGGGGAATAAATTGGGAAAATATTTGGCAAGGATGGTAAGGAAAAAGAAATCAGCAAATTATATAGAAAACTTTTGAGACAAAACAGGAGAAATAGTATACTCAACCAAATCAATTGCGAGTGTATCACAAAAATATTACAGCTCCCTTTATGCGGTAACATCAAAGAATTCAAAAGAATTGGAGGAAGTTAGAAACAAAAAAATGTTAGATAGACCAATAACACAAGAAGAGGTGCTTGAAGCTCTTAGGAGCGCACAAGCAGGGAAAAGCCCAGGGCCAGATGGATATATGGTAAGATATTATAGGAAGTTTAAAGAACAATTAATACTGAAAATGTGTGCGTATATGAATGCGTTAGGAGAGGAAATGTACATAAGGAAATAATCTCTGCTGGCACACATAACAATCATCCCTAAAGAAGGTAAATCTCTATCTCAATGTGCCAGCTATAGACCAATAGCATTATTGAATAAAGATACAAAATTGTATGCAAAAGTTATTGCTAATAGGATGAAAGACCTAATGCCAGAATGGATTCATATAGATCAAGTGTGGTTTATACTGGAAAAAGAAGGAAGAGATAATGGTCTGAGGGCATTGATATTGCCACAGAAAAGCAAGAAGGAAAAATCTCCAGTTGTACTTCTGTCAATAGATGCTGAAAAAGTGTGTGACAGGGTAGACTGGAGATTTATGATGAGCACTTTAGAAGCAAAAGAACTTTGACCAAAAATGATTATATAGTCACCCTTAATGGCTCATTGTCAGAGCCTTTGACATATATAATGGAACAAGACAAGGATGCCCACTCTCACCACTTTTATTTATACTATCCTTAGAGCCCGTTAGTAACGATACGGCAGAGTGTACTATAAATATAAAGGGGGTTACAAATTGGAGAAATAGAACATAAAGTGGCAGCGTATGCAGATGATATGTTGTTTTATGTAGTGAACCCTAGAGTAACATTACCAAACCTCATGAGAATATTAAAATATTATGGAGAATTATCAAATTTTAAAATTAATTTCTCAAAATCAGAGATATTGGATATTAATATATTGAAAGCAGAAAGACAGTCTCTACAAGAAAAAAATTTCCACTTTAAAGAACGTAACTACTTAGGAGTAAAGTTAACTCCGTCATTTAGGAATATATACCAGACAAATTATATACCACTATTAAATGAGATTAAGGATGAGCTGAGGAAAATCTCAAAAAGATCACTTTCCTGGATAGGATGAATAAATATGGTGAAGATGGTGATAGATAGTGCCTAAAATTCAGTATAAATTCCAAATGTTACCAATATATTTGCTGCAAACATATTTTAGGGTTCTTAAAAGAATCATGATATATACTGTATGTATATATATATATATATATATATATATATATATATGGGCAAATAACAAACCTAGGGAGAAATATGAGGTATTATGTAAAGACAAAATAAATGGGGGTTTAAATGTGCTGGACTTTAAGAGATATTATTTTGCAGTATTATTATCATGAATAATGAATTGCGTATATAATGCACGGGTGAAATATTGGGTAGGGATTGAACAAACGTTAAGTGAAGCACAATTAGATAAAATTATTTGGGTACCACAACAATTTTGGATATTTTCAGTAAACTCCAGCACTTTAACAAGAAATGTATTTAAGATATGGGATTTAATTCACAAACAAAATGGATGGGGTTTAATTCCTCTTTAATACCACTTGAAAGAACACATTTTTTTTGCTTGGTAAAACTATTATAGCAGGAACTTGGATTAAAGATAGGAATGTATGATTAACCACTTGCTACCAGGCACTTATACCCCCTTATTTACCAGGCCAATTTTCAGCTTTCAGCGCTGCCGCACTTTGATTGACAATTGCGCGGTCATGCAACATTGTACCCATATGAAATTTTGATCATTTTTTTCTCACAAATAGAGCTTTCTTTTGGTGGTATTTTAATCGCCACTGGGCACTTTACTTTTTGCCCTATAAATAAAAAAAATGCAAAAAATTTGAAAAAAAAAAAAAAGTTTCTTTGTTTCTATTATAAAATTTTTCAAACAGGTAATTTTTCTCCTTCACTGATGTGCGTTGATGAGGCAGCACTGATGGGCACTGATAGGCGGCACTGATGGGCACTGATAGGCAGCACTAAAGGGCACTGATAGGCAGTACTAATGAGGTGGCATGGATAGGCGGCACTGATAGGCAGCACTAATGAGGTGTCACGGATAGGCGGCACTAATATGCAGCACTGATAGGCGGCACTGATAGGTGACACTGATGATGGGTACTGATAGACGGCACTGACTGGCATCACTGCTGGGCACTGACTGGCGGCACTGACTGGCACAACCGCTGGGCACTGACTGGTGGCACTGACTGGCAGCACTGCTGGGCTGCACTGGTGGGTGGCACTGGTGGGCAGCACTGGTGGGTGGCACTGGTGGGCACAGGTGGGTGGCACTGGTGGGCACAGATGGGTGGGCACAGGTGGGTGGCACTGCTGGGCACAGATAGGTGGCACTTCTGGGCACAGGTGTGTGACACTGCAGAGTGGCACAGGTGGGTGCACTGCTGGGCACAGGTGGGTGATCTGCTGGGCACAGGTGGGCGGAGCTAGTGGGCGCACTGCTGGGCACAGGTGGGCGGAACTGGTGGGTGGCACTGCTGGGCACCGATTATCAGGGCACTGATCATCAGTGCCCTGATGATCGGTGCCGATCCTCGCTCTGACAACTGCCGGTTCTCGGCAGTACTTTCCTCACGATCTGACAGCGTGAGGAAAGTGCAGCCGAGAACCGGCACTTGCATTTCCCTGTGATCAGCGTGTCATTGGACACCGCTGATCACGTGGTAAAAGGCCGCTGTGATTGGCCTTTTACCACATCACGTGATCAGCTGTGTCCGTAGGACACAGCGTTCACGGAGTTCGCCGGGTGCGCGCGCCCCCTGGGGCGCGCAGGAGAGCGCGTTCTGGGAGGACGTCATATGACGTCCACCCAGAACTGGCCGGCCGCAGTGCAGCCGTCATTCGGCTACCTGCGGTCGGCAACTAGTTAAAGAATATTATGAGTAATGGAGAAATAGGCACGTTACATGAGTTGAAACACAAAAGGATACATTTTATGTACTTGATGATTGGCAGTATCATCAATTAAAATACAAAAATATGGTAGTCCACGAATCTATAAGATACTGACTATGATATCTGATCCGGTTATACCAGCATTTATGATTAAATGGGAAAATGAGTTAAGAATGCAGTTGAGTGAACAACAGAGAAGTAAAATATTTAAAATCGCACATGGGGCAGTGGATATGAATACTGTAGAGATTAATTATAAATTACTGGTAAGATGGTATATTACACCTAGTAGAGCTCATAAAGAACACATGGAGATTTCTATGTATTGTTGGAGGAAATGTGGGATGGTGGGTACAATAACATGTATGGTGGGAATGCCCCAAAATACAGGAATTCTGGCAGGATATAATACAACAAGTAGGAGAGGTTATGAGGGAAAGTATATTAAAAGACCTGTGGGTGTATCTATTTCATAATACCGATTTAACAAAGAAACAATATAAAACACATTTTTATCCCCATTTACACCCCATTTAATCAATGCAGCAAAAAGGTTGATCCCTAAATTTTGGAAAGCCCAACAGACTCCAAGAATAAAAGACTGGACAAAAAGAGTACAATTTATATACAGGAATGAAGAACTATATTTTAGTGGAGAAGATAAAATGGATAAATTCAGGAAAATCTGGAAATATTGGGGAGAAAACTACACAGAGATTTGTAGAACTGATGGAGTAGAATGGGAAATGGAAAATAGAGGAAAAAGAAGTAAGGAGTAAAAAGCTGATATAATGGTAAGAGGATACATTTGAGTTAGAGGAAGATTTATAGAGGTGAGTGAAATGTGGGGGGAAATAATAGTTGGGGAGGGGGTTGAAAAAAAAAAAAAATAAATGTTTAAAGAATATGTATTAGTGTATTTATGTTATATTGATTTTGTATTTAATAAATATATAATTTTAAAAAAAAAACAGGCCAGGGTCAGATGGCAGCAGGCAGAAACATCAGGCTTAGGGACTCGGTCAGGTAAGACCTGGACACCGGTAGAGGCTTCTCCCCACCCAAATCTCTTCAAAGCCTCTCACATACATGAGACCCCTGTGTTGTCTTGAATCCCACTAATACAGTGGCAGGGCAAAAGATCAGTTCAGGAGGCAGGCAAAAAGCATGGTCGGTTAACAGAGGTTAATTCACATGGAAGGCAGAAACGTGGTTGACAGTTCAAGCAGCAGGCAGAGGCATCATCAATAAACAGTCCAGGGTCAGTTCAGGTGGCAAGCAGAGGCATTGTTGATAAACAGTCCAGGTCATACAGGGAAATAGCAAACAGTTGACACAATTGGAACAATATCTTTACTTCACATATACTGCACTATTAGCGTATTGATGTGTGATAGATCCGCAAGCACTCTCCAATACAGAGGCCTGGCTGGTAGGGACATTGGGGACAGTAGTATCGGGTGTCATGGCGAATTCCATTACTGGAATATTCACAACATTTTTGGAGGGTTTACTGCCCTTTTTGGGTAAGAGGGAGGATATCAGGGAAATGCCTCTCATGGAGTCTGGTCACTGAATCAGAGCGAATTTGTTCATGGCCATGCGGATACAGAAGAGTTGTAACAATGTCCTAGGAGAAAGAAGGTAAAGGTCAATCAGTCTGACTCTTAGTCTAAGAAGCCCATATGTTTATAAAAAAGAGTTCATCAGGAAGTGAAAGGAAGTCACCGGAGTGTGGGTGGGGGTCTGCAGGTTCTAGGGCAAGCCTCTGTAAGGAGCGATCCCTAGGTGGCTACGTAGGCCTGTAATATCTGGTTATTGATATCCACCCTTCCATGAACTGGTTATAGTCGTGTATGCATTTTGGTTCTGAACAGGACCTTGTCTTTTTGAAGTTCCACCAAGGTGTCATTATAAATTGAGGAAAGGATATAGATATCTCTTTTAGCTCTCTACTTTAGGGCTAATATCTCTTCATTCCGCAAACTGGCTGTTTCCCCTCGTTTTAGTTTTGTTGTGATCAATCTTTGGGGGAAGCCTTTGCGGTTGGCCAGTGCTGTTCCACAGGCCACAGTTTTCTTTAGATAGAGGTGGCGGAAAAGTGGGGGACTTGTGTAGAAGTTATATACATACAGTTGATACCCTTCTCAAGCAGCGGTTCTATATGTTGCCAAACAACTTTTCCACTTGTCCCCATATAGGTTGGGCCTCCAGGGTGGTCTTGCTGACTGTCCTTTCCCTTGAAAATATTGAGGTTATAGGTATAACTCATGGCTCTGTTGCATGCCTTGTTGAATTTTACCCCATATTTGGCCTGTTTACTAGGGATGTACTGTTTAATCCCTTCCGGTGAAGTGGGCTAGGGATTCATCCACACAAATATTTTTGTTGGGATTAAACATTTTCTTGAAGGTACAGCAATAAAAGTTGATTAATGGATGAATTTTGAACAGTTTGTCATAATCTGGATCATTTTGCAGGAGGGCACTGGGTATTATTATTGAAATATAAAAACCTCATTATCATTTTGTCGGGTGTTCTGGGCATACAAGATGAATAGACTGGCATATGATGTATAGGTTGAGTAGACCTGTAGGAGTGAACTTAATTTTTTTTGTCATTCCCATGTTCAAGGTAAACCCAAGAAAAATTGTAAATTTCTTCACGGTGAGGGGTTTCTACACAAATTGATGGGTGGGCATATGACGAATTAGTATTGCTGCCAACATATTGGTTGGCATACAGATTACACTGCTCCACAATGTCATTTAGCAGATCATCAGTAAAAAAATAAATGAAAAAAATAAATTGGGGTAACATTTTCTGTTTGTATCTGAGGGCCTGGCTGTGCTGTAAAAGAGGCTCATGCTCGAAATCTGGGTCTGACAAAGAGAGTTTCCTGCTTCTCTCATCCACCTCTCAACTCTCAACTCTCAAAATCGATATTGCTGATATCGATTTTGATGTTCACTGGTACACTGTGATAGATGTTGATCATCGGTACAGATGTGGATTTGACACTGGTACACTGTGACAGATATTGATCACTGGTACTAATGTGGATTTGATACTGGTACACTGTGAGAGATGTCCATCCCTGGTACCGATGTGGATTTGACACTGGTACTCTGTGACAGATATTGTTCACTGGTACAGATGTGTATTTGACACTGGTACACTGTGAAAGATATTGATCACTGGTACAGGTGGGGATTTTACACTGGTACACTGTTAAAGATGTGGATCTCTGGTACAGATGTGGATGACCACTGGTACAGTGTGACAGATGTGGATGATAACTGTGACAGATGTGAATAATCACTGTGACAGATGTGTGAGGGACACTATCTGGGTGATCAGTGTATTGTAATGCTTATAAACTCACTGTGGCAATACAGATCAGCACTGTTTCTCCTCACTGGTGGGCTCTGTGTGAGGAGAAACAGTCAATCAACTGACAGGCAGCGTTGTTTACATTACATAATGGATGTGATTGGACACAGTCATTATGTGATCAGAAGGGCCAATCACAGAGCCCTTCTGCCAAGTGGTGTTGTGCCATGTCCAGGGGACACAGCAGGCGGAAAGTGCCGTGCCCGCACCCACGTTCTGAAGGATGCACAGGAACATCCCCTCAGAACGGCAAAGCTCCCACCAAGCCTTTAAGTGCAGGGGCCAGGTGGGAAGCGGTTAAATGCCATAAGGATGTCATTCTTATTCTTTTTTGCACACACTTAAACAATATAAGGGAATTTGGGTTGTGTGCATTTAGAAGGTTTATCCATATGAAAATGGGCTTTCTGAATGCAAAGGACCCTGCATTAAAATAACACTAAACTCTGGTTTAAAAAAAATATTTTTGAGAATATGTTCTTAGCTCAAAAAGGTACTTTCTATTGCTCGCAGCCGCCTACAAATTTCTATTTTTTTTTTTTACTGCTGTGATCCAACATCCTGTTAGAGGGTGGATTTGTTTGTTATTCATGGTCTCATTGTATGTAGAAACATAGCCACCTGAAATGGACGTGGGACTATTAGCTGTAAACATTAGAATTTGTAGTGTTCACAGAGCACAACTAAAGTGCACTAATCATTTCAAATAATCTGAAATGAAGGGGAAAAGGAGAGGTTCTGGAGCACATGGAGGACATTACTAGGAGGCAGACAAACACATTAAGAAATAATTTCATGAAAAAAAGATTACAGGGACATTAAGTAGTGGATGCATATAGATTATAATATAATTTTGTGTTATTTTAAAACATCTTTCCACATCAGATGGCACTCATAGGGGCTGCAATGGCATTTAACTTTCAAACAAGTAACCTTATTAAACATACTGAAAGGCTCCTACTAAGCTCTGTTTCCCAGGCTGAGGCATATAAATAATAGTACCAGAAGGCAAGGAGATCAATAAACGCTTATTTGCAACTGATGTGCTGTAAAATGTACAATTGTGCCATCAACAGTAAGCAGCATAATCCCCCAGGCCAGAAACCACAAAAAAACTTTACAAAATACTGTTACAACAGGAAAAACAATTGATCTAAATGTCATGAAGTTGTAGGATTATCTTCATTATGGGGGGTGAAACAAAGACAAGGCCTCATCTTTTGCAACTCCCAAATTAGATATGAAAGCATCAGCAGCGCTGGAACTAATATAACAAAGAAAGGTATCACGCAAGAACAGTAAAACACATCATGATCAGTCATTAGCAATATTAAGTGTGGCTTTCTATGTAGGCATAGCTCCCAACTGTCCCAGATTTTGAACAAAATCCCTCTGTCCCTCTTTTCTCCTCATTTGTCCCTCATTTTGGTCTGATCTCTATAGTTGTATATGAAATGCAATTTTTATCTTTTAAAAAGTGCTAAACCTTTCATTGAATTTTTAAATTGCTGCATTTGTAAATATCAAAAGCCAGTATAAAGAAATAGTAGTGGCAAAAAAAAGCAATTATGGGTTCAACTAATCTTTTTTTGTAGAATTCTCCTTTAAGGGGGCATGGCAGGGGGTTGTGTCCTATGCCTACATACTTTTTTCTAATAAGCATCCCTCGTTCCCATCTCAAAAAGTTGGGAGGTATGTGTAGGGGGGGATCCCCAGTAGTCACCATGTCCCACTAGCATAGCAATTTCGTGCCTTTTTCCAGGTGCAAGAAACAAGTGAAAAGATCCTTTGTGGATGAAAAGTAATTTAGTGGGGAGCCCCCATTTATAGGCAACATGGCGTGTTTGTTACCACAATGTAGTTTGTCTTGCTTGTGCAGTAGCAGCTGAGATATCAGCCAAGAGAGACACTGAGGAACAAGGGTCAGTATTCTCACTTTCTGAAGTCATAATTTGTTCTTTGATGTGGTAAAAGTGGATCCTTGCCATAATGTCTCTATGTACAATATGTGGAAAATGCTTAGGCTTGGAAATCCTATGTGCCCTGTCAATAGTGAAATCATGGACAGATTGAAGGGACTGCAAGGTCTTAAATGTTTGTGTAGAATATTGAATCAACTCTGCTTTTGTCACTGGCTCCTCACATCTTAATATTGTTTCTCCTAAATCCACAAGCTTGTCCTGAATCTACAGTATTTTAAGTCATTCTGCTGTTTATTATGAAAGACCACAATTTAATTATGTACTGTGGCAGACTCTCTAATTCTCTTCTTTATGGTCTATGCATTCCCCCAGTTCGTCAATTTGCATTTTCATATAAGTAAGATAAGTGATATCTTCTTGTAATGAAGATTGTAATGAGAGCTATACTCTCTATAGTTTGCATCAGAAGAAGCTATATTAAACAGTGATTCTCCAGCAATAATTGTTGTATCTGACTGTGCAGCCTGCTGTGTATGAGAAGCATCAGTTTTTTTTTAATTTACAAGATACTTGGAAGCTGAGGATGCTGAGGGAGATGTAAACCCAGGCTCATGTCTTTTAGTGCATGCAACAATGTGACCCTTCTCATCATCAAACAGTTCCTGTGAGCAAAATGAGACCAGAGGTGCTACCACCATTGGATGAACCACTGCCATTTTGCAAGCAATCCCACTCTACTGCTGAGAAAAACTAAAAAATTTTGAAGGGTTGCCTTCTGCAAGACTTTCTCTGCTGCATCCTGAATATTGTAGGGAATGGATTTCCACTGCAGATTGTAAAGGAAAGCTCTATGAACCTCTATGGGCTTCTGGGAGGCTTTGAGAGCCAGAGCCAGCAAATCCGGCACCCATCTCTCAACGAGTTCAGGCCGCAAAACTTTGTATTGCTATCTGTGTACCTCTTGCAGATTTCCCTCACTTTCTGTCTAGTGAAACAGCTGTCAGCATGACAATAAGTGAGCCCCAGATAGCAGTAAAAACATGAAAGGGGTGCTATGCATTCCCCATGTAGAGATGACCCCCGCAAGGACTGCTGATTTTGTCCAAGGTTCTTTTCCCACTAGTGTAGCAGCAGCCAGGCAAACAGCAACATTCACTCCTCTGGCTCAGTAAACATGGGATGCTGCAGAACACTGAACACGAATGTGAGGACACTCTTCCCTTTTGCAGCTACTTCTCAGAACAGTTTCTTCAGTATTAGGACATAAAGTGGACAGAAATGGGACACCATTGGCAATGTTCCAGGCCAGGCAAGCCTTAAACTTATTGCACCAGCCACCATATGGGCACTCTCCCCCAGGAATTGACTGAAACAACATAAATACAGTATTGCAGCTGATTCTTCTCCCTCCCCCGGTTCATCTGCCTGCCCTCTCCATCAGTTTACTGTGTAAACACCCAGCTGTACTGTGACAAGAGATAACTAGCAACAACAATGGACCAATCAGCAGTAAGTAGGAGAGAACCAGATGTTTCTAGAAAAGGATTCTTCTCAAAGTGTGACACTAAAGGGATGTGACAGGAGTCTGACAGGATCGTGTCAAGGAAACTCCACCTAAGAAAGAAAGAGCCTGATAAGCGGAGTCCACAGCCTTGTGAGGGACAGCCAGAGAGTACAGAGTGTAACCTGAGTACTGTGGGATTAGGCTACCTACCAGAGTCATCACGGGCAACTCAAAGTCAGCAGGTACCCAATCAGAGAGACCTTGTAGCCATGACTAGTTTTCACCATCAGAACAGAGCCATTAGGAACTACTGTACCTACCAGCTACCACATACCCTTGATACTGACTGCAAGCCCTATTGACATCCTTAATGCATGCCAACGGGCCCCAGTAGTTGAAGAGCAAGGACTAAAGATTACCCATAGCAGTTGTTGCCATGAGGCCTTGCCTTTTTTTATTTTTTTAGTTGAAGAGGTACCTCTTAAGAGACGCTGTATCCCAACCAATCCCTTAGAGTGCACTCTAACCTAATGTAGTGTTATCATCATTTATACTGCATTGTTTATTGCTGATTTGCTAATTTACCCTTCAGATCCTAGTTAGGGGTATAAAATCTAATTTTTGCCAATTGAACATAGTTTTTTCTCTGTCTAGCAGACTATGTCATAATCTATCAGCTGTGTGCTGATTTACGTTAAATTCACCATTTATTTTAACCCTTATTAACCACTTGCCTACCAGGCACTTATACCCCCTTATTTACCAGGCCAATTTTCAGCTTTCAGCGCTGCCGCACTTTGATTGACAATTGCGCGGTCATGCAACATTGTACCCATATGAAATTTTGATCATTTTTTTCTCACAAATAGAGCTTTCTTTTGGTGGTATTTAATCGCCACTGGGCGCTTTACTTTTTGCACTATAAATAAAAAAATGCTAAAAATTTGAAAAAAAAAAAAAAAGTTTCTTTGTTTCTATTATAAAATTTTTCAAACAGGTAATTTTTCTCCTTCACTGATGTGCGTTGATGAGGCAGCACTGATGGGCACTGATAGGCGGCACTGATGGGCACTGATAGGCAGCACTAAAGGGCACTGATAGGCAGTACTAATGAGGTGGCACGGATAGGCGGCACTGATAGACAGCACTAATGAGGTGTCACAGATAGGCGGCACTAATATGCAGCACTGATAGGTGGCACTGATAGGTGACACTGATGATGGGTACTGATAGACGGCACTGACTGGCATCACTGCTGGGCACTGACTGGCGGCACTGACTGGCACAACCGCTGGACATTGACTGGTGGCACTGACTGGCAGCACTGCTGGGCTGCACTGGTGGGTGGCACTGGTGGGCAGCACTGGTGGGTGGGCACAGGTGGGTGGCACTGGTGGGCACAGGTGGGTGGCACTGGTGGGCACAGGTGGGTGGGCACAGGTGGGTGGCACTGCTGGGCACAGGTAGGTGGCACTTCTGGGCACAGGTGTGTGACACTGCAGAGTGGCACAGGTGGGTGCACTGCTTGGCACAGGTGGGTGCACTGCTGGGCACAGGTGGGTGATCTGCTGGGCACAGGTGGGCGGAGCTAGTGGGCGCACTGCTGGGCACAGGTGGGCGGAACTTGCGGGTGGCACTGCTGGGCACCGATCATCAGGGCACTGATCATCAGTGCCCTGATGATCGGTGCCGATCCTCGCTCTGACAACTGCCGGTTCTCGGCAGTACTTTCCTCACGATCTGACAGCGTGAGGAACGTGCAGCCGAGAACCGGCACTTGCATTTCCCTGTGATCAGCGTGTCATTGGACACCGCTGATCACGTGGTAAAAGGCCGCTGTGATTGGCCTTCTACGGACACAGCTGATCACGTGATGTGGTAAGACACAGCGATCACGGAGATCGCCGGGTGCGCGCCCCCTGGGGCGCGCAGGAGAGCGCGTTCTGGGAGGACGTCATATGACGTCCACTCAGAACTGGCCGGCCGCAGTGCAGCCGTCATTCGGCTATCTGCGGTCGGCAACAAGTTAATGGATTTAGACCATTTACCTCTAAACCAGTGTGTGTCTATTTATTAGTAGTATTGTACATTTGTGTATTTATCTGTGCTTGGAGTGATTTTTAATCAACCAGGTGTGTCAGAATTGCAGAGGTTGTTCTTGGAGTCGAGGCATAGAACAGAGAACCCAAAGTTACCAAGTGGCTTCTTCGGGGGTGGCACTATACAGTCAAACTCACAGCCAGTGAAATTCGGAGCAGACCAGAGAAATCAAAAGCAGCTTCACTAATTACAGGAAAGCTAATGAATTAAATTTACCTAACCTAACACCTATCTAGGAGGGTGCTATACCCATTATACCCAGAAAATTAAGATAAGCGTTTTAGCGAAACATAACGTTTAAGATAAACTCTATGGACCATTGCATGTTGTACAAACACTCAGATAAACTCCCTGTGATGTATATAATGCATGGTGATTGTAGACTTACCAAGCTGATTTATGCATCAAGAATCTGAGTCTTTATAAAGTGCACTTGACAGAGAATATACAGCTTCTGAGCTCATAATATCTTCCTGCTTCTAACTTTGCTTGTTTTTTTTGAGTACTCACTGTTTTTATTCATATTATGACTATTTACAATGGATTCGACATGGAACTGAATAATGTTGATGGCTTAAGTCTTAAAGTAACAGGGTCTGCTCAGCTGTTATTCACTTGTGCCATACAGTATTTGATATCTTAATACTGGCATCAGCACTGCTATCTAAGTTGATTTATTGGGAATAGTTTTGAGAGTGTGCAGTGTATCTTCTTTTTTTGTGTTATACTGTAAATTACTGCAGTTTGTTTTCATTTATGCTTCTTGTATTGTAATACAGTATGTGGTTCTGCGGCGTAGTTGCTAAATCCTACGGAAGACAACCAAAACCACTTCGGTTTTTCATCACTTCTGTAAGTGAATAACGATGAGCACATAGGTATAAATACATTTCTCTATATATGACTACACATATGTTTGTAGCCAACAGAGGCATCCCAGTAAGTGGCTGAGGGGTTATACAGTAATCAGCTGTGGGGCTCCTAAAGTTTGGTGTAACTTTGGCTAATAGGCAATGACCTAAGCAGGGGCGGACTGACCATTTGGAAACTCGGGCACTGCCCGAGGGCCCGGGGTCAGTAGGGGGCCCCATGAGATGCCCCTGGTACCTTTTTCATAGGCTTTTTTGAGTTTGGGCAAGGACACAGGGGCCCCATGATCCCCTATTGCCCAGGGGCCTCATGAGTTGTCAGTCCGCCCCTGGACCTAAGACATACTTTTTTACCTTCTGCTGCTGAAAAGATTGTTTACCATTATTCAGCAGGTATCTTCTTGTAATAAGACAGCATTTTCATTTCATATTTGTATTTTGCAGAGACAGCTGCTTCAATCATCGACGTGTTTATCATATTTCCCATTCTACAAGAATATTCTAACACATGGGGATAACCTGCAACACAGCCGCTATGTTTAATGCATCCCTCTATGAACGTTTGCATTCGAGCCAAGTTATTACTGCATCTAATGTACTCACCAAAGTCACTTTGCAATAAGTGATTTTCTTCACATCCTACTTCTACAAAAAACAAACACAACCACAATATTTGCATTAAATTTGGTATGCATCAGCATCACAAAGCGAATTTGGTAGTTAAGATATTTACAGTCTATACCTGTGTATTTACAGCAAGTAATAGTATCCAGTAACCAATACCAAAAAGTTATCACTTTAATTTCTGAGAAACCTGAATTATAAAATTCAATAAGTTTCTTCTCTGCATAAAAACAATAACAGAACCTAAATCATTCATATGTGTCCAAGTAGGTGATTCGGAAACTTGTCAGCAATACTAAAGCCTGAAAAATGTAAATATGTTTCATTTGCAAAATTTAGAACAGTAAGTTTGATTAGAGATGTGTTCCCCCTCAATTAAATAATTATGGGTAGGCTACATTGTAAAGACCGATGCCCTTTCTTAGCCTTTCAATCTCTGGCATCAGTGTTAAAATTAATACCTCTTTTAAACAGAATGGTTTTTGGAGGTGGGACGAGTGAATTGAGTAGCAGTTCTGCTTTTAGTAACCAGCATCAGGTCCAGTGTTGCAATGGTTTGTCTATCTGGCATCAGATCTATTGTACTTGGACACTCTGATACTCTTACTTTCCACCTGGATTCCACTCCCCTTTGCTTAGTCTCTCCACTGCCTAGTCTCTACTTTTCTATTATAGGTAGATGAGTCCACCAAGACTGGGTAAGATGTCAAAGAAGGCACAGAAGTGAGGACACCTCAAGATGGTGGGAGAACTCCAAACAGTGAGAAAATGATGACAGGAAAAGAGGTAGTGGTCAGACTTGCTCAGAGGTATGGAAATTTGCTTAGAGGTATGTAAAGGAGCTGGAACATAGTGTAGATATGGTTGGACCTATACCTGAGAACTCAATTTCTCACAATAAAGGAGACAAATCTGGTTCAATTTGATGTTTCAAAATCTACCTTAGAGGAAGCAACTGTCTTGTTCTCTGGAGTGATGAATCACACTTCTCTGTCTGGCAATCCGATGGACATGTGTGGGTTTGGTGGTTGGCAGGAGAATGGTACTTGCCTGACTGCATTGTGCAAAGTGTAAAGTTTACTGTAAAGGTATTATGGTGTGGGGTTGTTTCTCAGCAGTTGGGCTTGGCCCTTTAGTTCCAGTGAGGGGGAACTCTAAAGGCGTCAGCATACCAAGACATTTTGGACAATGTCATGCTCCCAACTTTGTGGGAACAGTTTGGGGATGGCCCCTGTCTGTTCCAAAATGACTGCGCACCAGTGCACAAAGCAAGGTCCATAAAGACATGGATGAGCGAGTTTGGGGTTCAGGAACTTGACTGGTCTGCACATAGTCCTGATCTCAACCCAATAGAGCGCCTTTGGGGTGAATTAGAGTGGAGACTGCGAGCAAGGCCTTCTTGTCTGCCATCAGTGCCTGACCTCACAAATGTACTTCTGGAAGAATGGTCAAACATTCCCATAGACACAATCTTAAACCCTGTGGACAGCGTTCTCAGAAGAGTTGAAGCTGTTATAACTGCGGAGGGTGGGCCAACTCAATATTGAACCCTACGGACTAAGACTGGGATGCCATTAAAGTTCATGTGTGTGTAAATGCAGGCCCAATATTTTTGACAATATAGTGTGCTTTACCTCAGCAATAAAAATAATTTATTGAAGAATAATAAACGTATATTCACAAACGTCACAGCAGTAAAAACATATAATGTCCACTGCTGGACCATAAAGCCAGAGTCGTGTGCAAGTCCCAATTCAAGGAAGACCCTATAAAATAACTGACGCATTTCGAAGGGAGATCTCTTCTTTCTCAGAGCCAATTTGATCAAGAGTCAGCCTTCCTTATATATATGACAAGTTTTAAAAGATGCTCCCATAGTGGGCTGGGTATTATCAACGAGGGAGGGGTGTCATGACAAACATGCTTAAACAAATTAGTTAAATAAATAAATAATAAATAAGAACAGAATAGCTAAACAAATATATAAATAAAAATCCAGCTCATATAAAACTTTAAAAAGTTCAAGGAATAGTCGCATAAATTCTTTGGATTAAGTGTAAACATATGAGAGTTTGCAAGATTGTACATACGATCTGATGAGGAAAGGTTGGTGAGTAACAGAGAGGAATAGAGAGGAACAATGGGAATGCTTGTCATAACTGTTCAATAGCAGAAACATCATGTGTGGCTGGGAGAGACACCAGGAATGTAACCTGGTGCCTCTGGAACTGTGGAAGTGCAGCTGCGCAGTGCGTTCCAGCAACGTCTTCCGGTTCTCGGAAACGTCACTTCCGGTGGATCATCACATCCGGATTGCGATCCAAGCAGCAGATACATATGACAATGGGGAGCGATCAACACAGCACTGATAACATGAATTAGTAACATACACACAGGAGACAATATCCACTCTTTGAATTTACACAGTTGGAATAGAATTATAAATGAAAACAAAATGTCTCCTGGTGGCATAGAGCATTCTAAATATTGGGTCATATTGATATTATTAATATTATTAATGATAAACAGTCCATGTGAACCGGTTCTTAAAGGTTCACCTATTCTCCAAAAGAATCCAAAAATCTGTTATGTGATTATATATAAACAAGTTAAATTTAAATAAAATAAGATATTGATAATGCTGAAAATCTATCTATATAAAGAATAGTAAAAAATGTATACATATAAATACATGTATAAAATAATGACCTAATAAATATATCTCTAAAAATCACAATGGAATTAATAAT